TTGTATTTCTTGTAAACAGGAAATGCTACGCAAATAGCTAGCTCTTGAAATGCATGCATTGGTTACTTGCCTTGAATATCATCAAATTGAAACTCGCATTCTAGTAATAAAATATGTTACAAATTACAAGTAGAAAGAAAGTTATATTCTACGATGTCAGTATGTATTTATTTTATTATAGCGCACGTGAGCTTTTGTAGGAAGAATAATCTATAAAGGCATTCATGCTTGAAGACGTCAAGATCGTTTATTTGTGTTAATGACGTATCTCATATGAAGTGTACATGTTCACACACGGGCTGCGAGGGAAAGGCTTTGAGTATAATTCGATATTACGCTTGAATTTACTTCCATAATAACGTGCCTGAATTGAAGGTCTTTATGGCACCTTCCTGAGACCGTAGAAAGCAGGAACATAGGAAGAAGGCGACAAGTTTAGGAGAGAGTATTGGTCGGATCATGTACTTCCCAAATCAACGAGCAGGAAACTTGCATTGGCGTTTCTCTCAAGAACGCATAGTGCATAGCCACGCTTCCCACAGTACTGGTTCTTACTCACGGACCGCAGAAAGGCAATCGTCATTACACTAGAGTGTTTTACTTTCTCGTATGCGGCTTATGGAATAGAGAAAATGTAATGCTGCCAGGAGGAAAAGCGCGTTTTGGACAGAATAACTCGTTTTTTTGGTCCCTGAAAACCGAGAAAGTTAATCATTCTTCTTACTTACTGTGATGATTACTTCTCAGGCTAGATATTGGATTTAAAAACTGGTGGTGCTACATCAGCACCTAATTTCTGATGTTATTTCGAAATATGTCATTTTTGAAAATGTAGAGTTGAATGAAAATTAGACAAGCGCCTTTCTTTTAACATTTCCTTGTTCTATTCGTGGATAACATTTGAAGAAAAAAATTTGAATCGATTATTGAGAAAATGTCTTCTCTATACATTGTTTTACTTTCACACAGAAATTACTTAAAAAACTACTTCTTTTTCCAAACACTTGTACATTACCTTTTTTAAAAGCTAATTTTTTAGAACAGACGTTGTTTAAAGCAAAAGCCTTTTTTCAATTTTGTTCTTTTGAGATGATTTGAGAAATTTTGCGAAATACACAATTTGACGGAAATGAGACTAGTGGCAATTTTTAACATATTTTGATACATACGAGAAGAAAATTTTTAATAAAAGATTGAAAATTGCCCCACATTTCACATTCAATTATGCCAAAACATTTAAAAATGTGAAAAATTATAAAGATCTGTCTCCAAAGAACTGATTTTTTAAGGGAAAAAAATCTGTATCTTCTGTATTTTAGTTGCAGGAAGACGCCGATAAATTTTGAACTTATGCAATTTCCGAAAAAATCACGGAATGCAATGCAAATGAGACTTGCACCTTTCTTTTATACGTCCATTATGCTATCCAAAGACAAATTTTAATTTTAAGAAATGGAGCCCTTCTTGAGAAAATTTCGAAAATGTAGAGGCTGCACATAACGTACCCTCAGGAATCAAACAATCCTTTTCAAACTCAGAGGGCTTCGACTAAATTTAAATCAGGGAGTATTAATTATGGAGAAAATCATAATAAAGATTGAGGCGCTAGTGTTTTCCACGAAGGGATGGAAGACAGAAGTTTTGATGTCAATCAATCCTTCGGCATCTAGGACAAAACATGGATTATGACTGCACATCGTGCTAGAGGAAGTAATTTACTATTTATAGAAACAAGACATTCATATTTTCGTTATCGAGGACCAGCAATAAGAGTTTTCCATGCAAAATTCTTCGTTTTCTGATGCACGATTACAATACTTTCTCTTCTTACAAGGTAAGGGCGTGAAAGAAAGAACGCATTGTATGTATTTGCAATTTTTGGTCCATGGTAGACTTTACCGGCCAGCTGTCGGCGTCTCCAATGCTTGAGGGGAAACATGTGGTGAACATGACCCTTCACCGTATCCAGCAAGATCCGCCTGCCTGAGCTTTCCTTCGTCACACAGTTACGACATTTTTAAAGGGAAGCTACAATTCAATTGTTACCTCAGTAAGAAAATGCATGTTTTCATTTAAAGCTCTACAATTGGATGAAGATATGCCCAAAACATTCAAGCCACAAAAATCAATGTGGATGAAAAATGGTTTTTATCTTAAAATTTCGAGCAGCATGGTTGCGCGCCGATAACTTGATATGGGAGGGACGTGTCCATGGAAAAGTTAGAAAAGTTATAATAATTCACCACACGGAAAATAAAACCAAGAAAAACGAAACTGAACGACAATAATTTTAAGTCTCGATCAGCTTTTAATTTTTTATCTTCCTATTTTGAATGTGTGTTTTATTTACCAGTATGACTTTCTTCTAAAATAAAGAAAAGAAACCCGAAGAAAATCAGAATTTATACAAGCATTTCCAAAACATTTTTTTAACATGTCGCGAGCGAAACCGTATATTCACCTACCGTATCAAAACAGGAAACGTAGCGGTAGTGCCCTGATCAATTCCGGGCTGCGACATGTGGCAGTTCGAAATACGAGAGAAGCCGGTAGATGACTTTCCTGAAGGGGCACAGAAACAGATGGAACAGACACTTTAATATTTATTTTGAGGGTTGTATTTTAATAAATTGCATTTTTTTTATTTCGTTTTAGAACAATGCATTTTAGTGTATTCATTAACTTTTTGTCATGACAAAAGAAAATGACGCATTTTTGTTACTTTTTTTCTCCATGTTTTGTTGATTTCGACTAATAAGTAATTTTGACTCGTTTTCGTTACTTTTATAGCATTTTCATTGATTTTAAAGGCCTTCTTAATGGTACTTTCTTCAAATAATAATTCAAATGTTCTTTACAGAATTTCTGCGGAGCCTATTCGATTTCTTTGTTCTCCACATGTCATTGTCTCCAATTGTACTATGTAATCTGAGGATCTTTTATCGCCTATCAACGCCACTGTCGGTTCGGCAGATTACGCAATAACTAACAACAGATTTTCTGGTAAAGAACAGTCCAAACCAAAATTTTACAAGCTGACTTCACTTGAACGAAAGGAAGAATCCTCGTTTGCTTTGTAACAAATCCAACAGTTTCGGTTGTTTATCTTAACTTATTTTGATCAAATTTTTACGTCATTTTTTTCTTTGAGGGCACATTTAAAACAGTTTTTATAGATCATATTTGGCGATGTTTTGTCATCAAAATCCGCCCCCTAGTACTTTTTGAACAACGACGGATCCATGGCCATTTGAGAAGCAAAGGAAAGGAAAGCCAATTTATTGCCGACAGTCACGAAAACAAAACTCTCTCCCAATGAATGCCAAAAGCGATTTAAAATATTTTAATTTTACATGTATTTCAAGTAATTCAGGCAATTTTAAAATATATAAGCTGTTTGTTTCATGAATGTCAAAAATTTGTGATTGTACGCGTTTCTCCTGCTTATTGTAACGTGATAAATCAGAATATCTTTTAGCAAAAGAAGTGTACCAAGATTGTCCGAAAACTGGTGTTGGGAATACTTCTCTGCCCTCTCTTCCACGTCATGAAAAAAACTGGTCATGCTAGAATTATCACGTCGGCAAAAAGAAGTAAGAGTGAAACGATGGACTTGCTGGTGGAAAACATAACTAAAACTTCCAACATAGAAAGTTGGTTTAGTCTTAATTATTTTAAAGTTATTGAATAAAGAAGAAAGATTATCTACTATACTACGTTGAAAGAAAAAGAATTTGTAATATACACAACATTCAATTGAATAAGCAATGATATTTATGGTAAATACGTTTATCAGTTCGTATAAAATAAATCAGTATTTTGTGAATCACTTCCAATGATTACTTGGGTAATTACTGGAATTATGTGTAACAGCACTGATGTAGTGGTTTAGTGATTAAAATGACATCACAATATTGTAAACGTTTTAAACTTCCACGTACACACTATGACTAAACATGAGAATGTGCAACTCTCAACAACTCAAGCGAGATGTATCGTTATCAATAATGTTACAAATTTCATTATTTGTATCACAAATGCAAACCAAACAGCAAATATTTAAAAAAATGTAATTTATAAAACGTAAATACTGTATGAGAACGTTTTATGAAAACTAAACGAACAGCAGGATGGGAATGATTCACGTTGCTGGCGGCCTGAAAATGCATCTGCGATTTGCAAGAGCCGACTTTGGCGGCCTGTAGAGCGCGCGCAGCCGGGAAAGCCGGCGCGAGGGAGGGAAAAGCGCTCCAGCGCGTCTTCCCCCTCGGAGCGGAGGAAGTGGAAGTGGTGATGGCAACAGCGGCGGAGGAGGTAATTGAAGAAGCAGAGAAAAGGCGACGGCTGTGACAGAGGTAGTAGTGGCTGGGATAGAATAACCGGGCCGGTGGCAGTTGGGGATGGGTGGTTGGCGGTGGGCAGTGAGCGGTTGGCTGTGAGCGGTTGGCTGTGGGCGGTTGGCTGTGGGCGGTTGGCTGTGGGCGGTTGGCTGTGGGCGGTTGGCTGT